GTCTTCTTGAATCTCTTGACACCGGTCATAGGTGGGCGGGAGAGGAGAGAGTGTGATAGGTGGTGCGCAAGTCTGCTATCACTGAAAACTAACTTATGCGCAAATCATCGTCCCTGCAACACCCTGTTTTGTTTTCGTTTATTTACTAACTACCGTCAGATATAGAGCAATTTGTTTTATTGGAGACATAATTCATTTTATCTCTCAAGGTTTCCAAGACTATTGGAGGAAACTAGTCTTCCTTTTGCCAAGTCGATGCAATTGAAGCAAGATTATGATCCTGCCTGGTACCCGCCAGGGCACGGCGACCTATACCGGTGTTTCTATGAGTCCGGACTCTTGAAAAAGTTTATCAATGAGGGGAAAACTTGGGCCTTTGTTTCAAATATTGACAATCTTGGCGCTACGGCTGACCCCAGTGAGTATTTTCTCCCCTTGTTTGTATTTCGGGTTCCTACGTCCTCAACCTCAGCCACTTATGACCCAGTTTGCATTTTACTAGATAAAAAATACAGATACAAAAAACTTAGGTTTTCACTCTGTTGTTAAATTCTGGAAGAAGTAAATCGGGAGTACATTAGGGGTCTCATTAACGTGTTCTCGATGGTTGTCACTTACTATGAGAGAAATTCGAGGTGAATGCATATGCAGTAGAATCGCCATCTCAAAAAATGTCAATCTAAATCTGAAATCCATTTCCAGTTCGAACAGTTTGTTTAAGAGAATTGCAATATTCCTTATCGTACAGCATAATCGGCGTTTGAAGGAGTTTCTACCCGGCCACAGGCAAAAAGCATACTGTGTGAAACATGGATATTTAAGTGTTAGGTATTTTCCTCATTGATTTCAAATGCGCTTATAAATTCCAATATATTTCATTGGGAACCCGCACAAAATATTCTTTTTTACTCGTTTGGTATAAAATTATGCCTTCTTTAAATGTTCTATTTTAAGAAAGGATATCTTTTCGTTTTAAAACGTTTATAGTTATGGCATTTTTCAACCCCGTGGAATAGTCATTCACAATAAATCGTATCCGTCTATTTATTAACGTTGGCTATAAAGTAAAAACCTGACCCACATCCATTGAAAAATTTTATGAGAACTGCATGAACTCTCTTTCCATAGCCTAGAGAAATGTGTGAGCTTCCTTAGAGAGAATTTATAAGTTATGTATTTTTGAAAGTTTGAATTAAAAAAAAAACGGCCGGCGGGGCTCAAAATTATTTGGCAATTCAGAAATTTTTACAAGTTAAAAGGCATCCACTCTTAAAGTAGGAAATTTAAAGTTGTAAGTTGCTAGCAAAAGAGTACAAGAAGAAATGTTGTTTTGCATCTTCTCTAGCAGATATATTGGAAGTTAGGAGAACTTTGAAAATCAATGAGAAAAATGTTTCGTAAGTAGCCATTTTTATATAATATGCTTTTATAGGGGGATGACAAGGAGCTTGTTCAAAATCGGGTATCCCGAAGCGACTAAGATATCTTGGGACCAGGCTGTGGGATAATCAATGTTACGAATATTTTGTTCGAATCAAGAAAATACTTCGGTACTTCGATTGATGCTTCATGAGACAGAGAATTTACTGTACGTTCGGCCAGCAGATCTGCAATCGTTTCCGATGATATCCACTTAGGAACGGCGAATTCCACATGAAGTAGTTTATAGAAATAATGGACTTATACTGCATCTATGGTACTCTCCTATCTTGTCCACCTGGGCCAGGTGGCATGATGCAGGTGATTGGCGCGGCGTGTGACTGTGCCCAGGCGTGGCCCAGAGTATTTGCTAGGGAGTCGCATTTTCAGTAACGTATATGGTGCCATGTTCATGCACCTTGTTGATCCAATACATCTACCACGTGAGCCGCTACAGGGACAACATAGCTTCGCAAAACGGCTAATGTGGAGTGGAACCGACACAAACAAGAGAGATCGGAAAGGCCATTTCTGGACTATTAGCCGTCATCAGCCATTTGTACCCAATCCCAGGTGTGGATCACCCTGGATCCGAATCCGGGAACTTTGGGAATTGAGTTAAACACTTTACCATTGCACCACGGGCTCAGTGCTTTGTCGGTTGCGATCGGGAATATGGTGGAAATAGGATGCTAATTCAATCTATCTGATTAGGGGATATACTTGTGTATTAAGGCTCGTTCCAGAGTGATCGCAGGCAGTCGCTCAGCGACTTCAGATATATGATGGAGGGGAACCGACAACGACAAGGGGCACCGAAATGGCCATAGCTGGCTTATTAGCTATCATCAGCCAGTCATGCCCAATTCCAGGTATGGATCATCCGGGATTCGAACCCGGCAACGTTGGTCGCTCTTCCACGAGTGCGTCAGGTGTTTGTTCCAGCAAAGACGGCTAGGAATGTGATTGAGCGCAGCATTTGATGTGACGTAAAGCCACCGTCTATCATGAGCCATACACACACGAAATTTATTAAGCGTCATATTAAACGATGGTTTATGCAGTTCAAGTCGCTTTTCAACGAATAACCGAAGCATTCCGTCAGCTGACAAGCACACCGGATATGTCTGAAGACGTGTACTTCAAAACTGGACTTAATTTTTCTTCCCTCCGCCATGTCCCAGTGGTCCTTCAAAACGTTGGGTTAAATAATTATTTAACTGGGTGCAGTGGAGGCCATGGCGTAAGCCTCGGGCTAACACGTGCCATACACATATAAGACAGTAGTTAGGCGCTCCCGCAGCGTCAACGCAGCTCTCAGGCCGCACGGGAAAAGAACAAGCTGTGCTCTGCTGTGACCTTGCAAAGGTCGCCTTTACTGTTTGGGGAGCAAACCCAATCACATAAAATCAACTCAACACACACGCGCTAGTCATACATTTCTGTTTCAGAGAGGATTTTCAAGCCAACGTCAGCAAGTCACTTTAAGTCCTACAGAAGTGCGATTTTTACCTGCACTTAGTTAATTTTATAATTATAATTGCATGACTCAAAATAAGTGCACAATTCATTTTTAAATATAAGAGGGTCTTGTTATTCATCTTTCTGTATCCAGCTATTCTCTGTTATCTGGAGGAGCAACGCAAGAACAAAACATCCAAGCAGGCAGATTTTGTCATGGAAGTGACCCCAAAGACGCTCTCAGATATCAAAGGAGGAACACTGGTCCGGTATAAAGAGCGCCTTCGACTACTGGAAGTCGCTCAAGCAAGTCATTACATCGATTCCCTCTATTTACCTATTTTGACCATGTCCCCCTATGCTCCTGCGAAAATTATGATGGGGACAAACGGTGGTTTAATAACACGAAGTTATATCTACTTTCTATTATTAAGTAGAAGTGTTATATGTCAAGGACAGTTCTGGGCCTCTTCGACTACTGGAAAGCGCTCAAGCAAGCCCTTACATCGATTTCTCGTTGATTACCTATTTCGGTCAAGCTCCCTACACTTCTAAGCAAATTCTTATAGGTAGGCAATTCCGAATTTTCGTCTTGTCTCCTAACATAAACAGTTACCGAGTAAAATCATCTCCCATCCTATCCGGAAAGCCATTTTTTCAAGCTTCGCTCCTCAGAAGGCACAAAGATTTGCGCATTGCATGTTGGAAAATGAGAACGCCTACGTCAGCAACATTGAGCCCAGTCACCCGAGCGATCAAACACTGCAGCGCAGACGTTGCCTGCCTCTGCTGTGCACTTTTCAGATGCTGACCCTCGCTCAACGTTAAAATATCATTATCTAATGGCATCAATGACAGTTGTGGTTGGCATGGTAGTGCCTGAGCAGGGCAATCGGTTTTGTGGGGAGAGCATGGGCGACTAACACTTCCGTCGAAAGCGAACCAAATTGCCGAATAATTATCACACCAACATCCAGTATTGAGTATAAAATCGCGGCAAAG